TTCATAGGCCCTATACTTATATATGTATATATATATATATATATATATATATATATATATATATATATCTGCATTATTTCAGTCCAGGGTTATTAAACTGAAATTAAATCTCTCTCTCGCTCTCTCTATATATATATATATATTTATACATATTAGTTAAAAACTACTAAAATGACAAAAGCACAAAATAAAATTACAAAAATGTCAACTAAAATTAAAATGAAAATAGGAAATATTAAAATAAAATCTTCAAAATATTAATTTAAAACCATAATAGTATCTAAATGATCCTAAACTAACACAGTGTCAGTCATAGATCAGTCTCTCAACACTAGTAAACTGATACAAAATAACAAAAAAATCATTCAGATGAGTTGTTCGTTACCGCTCCATTGGCCAGACCCTCGAAGCCATCGCTAACGATGTAAAGCCGGTGTCCTGTGGCCAGACCGACCCTCACGGCCGACCGCATCGCAGCGTTCATGCCCGCGGCCGGAGCTCCCACGTTCAGGATGGCAATGGAGTGCTGGCTCTGAAAAAAACAGACAGAAACCAGTCAGATAGAATGGATTAACAGCTAACCAACCCGTCACTGAGTGCCACGTTACCAGACTTTCACCAAACATTCGCTCTTTCTAACGGAAGTCTATGGAGGATCTGTGTTTGACATGGAGCTATCCAAAGAATATGGTAAAACGCTGTTGATACGACACGAGTTACACAATGTATATGCAGTATTTATCTTTATCTTGAGAAATTCATATATGTGGCTCTCATTCTCAAATTAACATGATAAAGGAAGTGTAAGATAAATTAATGCATTTATGTACTGCAGTTTCAAAACTAACTTTGCGTTCACAGTACCATAGTACAAGTTTAAGATTAGGATTTTATGATCCATATATCCTCCTGATAGCTGTAGTAAAATACGGTTTAATACCAGCAGTGACATTTACAGTTGTGTAAATAACTATTAGTAAAATATTAATTAAGGAATCACACTATTTTTCTTACATGTTTTAATTTTAACAGTTGTGCAGCACATTTTAAAATATGAATTCAATTGTTAATGTTTCATGCCTTCATTTGATCACCGTTTGATAAGAAATTTGCATTCAGTTATAAATACAGAAAAAATAAACACAGAATTTCAAATTATTGTAAAAATTTTAATAAATTATTAAAATTATTATTTAAAATTGGTCAATTGATTTAAAAATTGATTTAAAATGTAACTGAAATTAAAAAAAAATATTTCAGCTAATTGTCATTATATTTCTCGTTATATTTATTTAGTTTTACTTGATGCACTAAAATAACTAAAACTAAAACCGAAATAAAATGAATAAAAACTATATATATATATATATAGACTACTAAAACTGACAAATGCACACAACAAAATTGCAAAAACTTTTTAATTATTTTCTGAAAAATATAACATTTCATAGGGCCCTATTATTGTAAAAAAAAAAATAATAACTTATTAAATTGGTAATGTTCGATTAGACATGCTTTTTAATATTTAAAATGTAACTGAAATAAAAATAAAATACAAAAAGCTTTTTAGCTCAGCTAGTTAATTAAACCATTAAAATAGAATGCATTAAATACAGAAAATACAGCATTATACATGCAAAAGTATATAAAAAATAATAATAGTTATATATATATATATATATATATATATATATTTTTTTTTTTTTTATATATATATATACTTTTGCATGTATAATGCTGTAAAATGAGGGTTAAAGTCGTGACGCTGTGGTGTTGATGTGTTACCGGGACCACAGCTGGCTTCTGATAGGCCAGCAACTTATAAATGTTCCAGTTGTTCTCAAAACTCCTGTAAACAACATTATTTGATTCATTATTACTCATTCATGTGGAAAACAATCAGCTGAAACTTTGACCTCTGCAGGTCTATCTATTAATAAACACAGATAATGATAATGTGAATCTCACCTGCCCCGCAACTGGATGGCCTCTTCAAAACGCTTTTCATTCATGGCCCTCTGAACCTCTTTAGTCTTTAACAAACAGAGTAAAATTACTCTCTTTATAATGTCAGATATTATTTGAGACTGTTTGTCAGACATTTTTTCAGAAAGATTATCTTACCCAACTTAAGTAATTATATTATATTAAATATATAACTATTTAAACAAATGACAAAAGCACATAACAAAATTATTAAAACTTAATAATTTTTAAATAAATATAAATAAAATAGTTATTAAAATGAAAAGGTGTATCTGTTAATATTATGTAATGGACCTTACATTTTTATTTGACTTATCTGATTTACATTTGAAAAGATTAATTTAACCGTTATAGTTTTATGCCTTGATTTGGTCACCACCATTTTTGATAATAAATCTGTATTAAATCATAAATACAGACAAATTAAAACAGACAACACAGAATTTCTGGGGGGAAAAAAACATTTCATAGGGAAAAATGTAAATAAAATAATAAAATAGTTAATATTTTATGAATTCAATTGCTGTAATTAGACGCGTTTTGATTATTAAAATTTAATTTAATCATTACTACGGAATCCAGAAAAAATTTAAATGGAAAACACAGAATTTGTGAAAATTATTTATGAATGAACTTAAACTAAAATAAAAATCTAAAATGGTAAAAATCTAAAAATAAAAGCTAATTCAAAATATTAATAAAAAACAATATACATTTTTAACATTTACAAACACATTATTAAAATCAAAAGTTGTATCTGTTTGGCATATCAAATTTTTTTTAATAAAATTTTTGAAGATTATCTGACCCAACGAAGTTTTGCCATAACAATAGCACTAAATATGCATGAAAAAATATGCATAACAATAATAATAATAAGCTAGAAATGTAAGAGTTCAAGTTAAAAGAAAGCAATAAAAATAAAATAAATAAAAATAATAAAAAGCATGAGAGTTTAAAACAGTTTGCTGAACTGCTGAAGACTCACCATCTCCACTGCCTCTATTAGCGGGAGACGCACAGCCTGGTTTCCTGATAGGCCGATCACACAGGCGGGAGTGTCTGGGCCCGCCTCCAGCAGGGCCACCACGGCCTCGACGCCCATCTTACTGCTCTACAGAACAAAAGATCCAAATCCTTTCCTCAACATCATGAAAACCGATAATCACGCCATGACTGAAAATGATTCTGCGGGGGTTTAATTGAAATGCTTTATTTACCAGCACTCTGTCAAAGGCTGAAGGCGTCCCGCCCCGCTGAACGTGACCCAGAACAGTGACCCGTGTGTCATACCCCAGCCGCGACACCACCAGCTGCAGCAATTACAAGTCATTCATACACATTAGCTACGTTCGTCTAATGTGATTGGACAAGTAGCCTTATTAGAGCGCAGACGCTTTTTGCTTTTTTAGCAAAAGCCTTTTACTAAATTACTAAAACTTACATAAAAACTAATAAAAATGACAAAAGCACATAAAAACAAAAATTTTAATTAAAACTTGAAATGTAAAAATAAAGGCTAATTCAAAAATAATGAATATTAATAAAATATTAATAAATAATAAATACTATGATAGCATTTAAATAGTACAAAAATAATGGTTAGGGTTTGGTCTAATAACCAATGACCAATTAATTACATGCTAATTGATGGCATTGATAAATCCGCTCATGTGCCCCCATGTCTCACCTCTCCCAGCCGAGCGCACATGAGCTCTTCCCAGCCGTCCTCAGGAGGGGCTTCTGGGATAAAGAGCCAATCGGCTCCAGACGCCAGAGCTGAAACCAGCGCTAGATACCTGCAGCAGAACACACACTGCAGTCAAAGCTTTGTTTGGTGAATTATTCCTAATCGCTGTAGTTACTAGGGCTGGGTAAAAAATATGGATATCTCGATATTAATCGATTCTCTTTTTTATGCAATGATATCGATTCTTAAATCCCAAGAATCGATTAGTCTAGTCTGTTTTCAGTTAATGGAAGGAACATTGCAGGACACTTCCCATACAATAAATCACATAAAAACAAAAATTTTAATTAAAACTTGAAATGTAAAAATAAAGGCTAATTCAAAAATAATGAATATTAATAAAATATTAATAAATAATAAATACTATGATAGCATTTAAATAGTACAAAAATAATGGTTAGGGTTTGGTCTAATAACCAATGACCAATTAATTACATGCTAATTGATGGCATTGATAAATCCGCTCATGTGCCCCCATGTCTCACCTCTCCCAGCCGAGCGCACATGAGCTCTTCCCAGCCGTCCTCAGGAGGGGCTTCTGGGATAAAGAGCCAATCGGCTCCAGACGCCAGAGCTGAAACCAGCGCTAGATACCTGCAGCAGAACACACACTGCAGTCAAAGCTTTGTTTGGTGAATTATTCCTAATCGCTGTAGTTACTAGGGCTGGGTAAAAAATATGGATATCTCGATATTAATCGATTCTCTTTTTTATGCAATGATATCGATTCTTAAATCCCAAGAATCGATTAGTCTAGTCTGTTTTCAGTTAATGGACGGAACATTGAAGGACACTTCCCATCCAATAAATCACAATAAGCATTGTGCTTTGGTGCTTTTAATATGAAACAAAGTCCCAAGTTTCAATTTATGTCCATTGTATTGCAGTATTCAAACAATAAATGCCGTTTTGGTGCTGTTTAATGTGGAGTGACAGATCGCTGTAGTATGGGATTACCTTTGTGCATAATTACTTATGAAATTATAAATTGAAACTGAATAAAATGTCTTTGAAACGGGAAAAAAATTAAATGCAGGCAAAATCTTTTACTTCGTTTTTAATACACTGCATGTTTTGCAACTGTTTTCTCTTCTTTTATTCGCTGATCTGTACTTCCAGAGTTTTCATTTACGCTTCTGAAGTTTTCGTTCACCATTCTGGCACAAATCTCTCGTGGGGGTGGGACTAGCAGCGGTGTGTTCTCATTGGCTACTAATGTTTTGATTGACAGCTTCTTGACCTGGAAGTGAAGGCGTCAATGTTGCCTTTCCAGTGTGGATGTGAGCGTCTGTTAGCGGCTTCCAATTTCATTTTAGCGATATAAAGTTAGGAGTTTTGTTTTTGAATTCAGTCTGTATTTATCTGTTGCTATTACTATAAATTTGTATAGATAGAAAAAAAATTGAAGTATTGAAGTAGAAATATTATTAGGTAATTGTAACTTTATTATTTTAAAAACTTCATTGTGTAATTTTAACAGTTGTATGCTACAGCTTACAAATCAGACAATTTTAACCTTCATTATATTATAGTAATGCAGTACCAAATGACTCTCATGTATATTTTACAGCATTAGTTAAGAGATTTTCTTTATCTAAGTTATTCTGGGTGGTTTCTAGGATATTGTACGCATGTTTCGCTGCTTGCTAAGATATTCTGGGTGGTTGCAAGGGCACTGTAAGAATGTTTAGGTGGTTGCTAA